CTCTCCTTCTGGAGAGAGCTTGAACAAAAATCTGTGGTTTCATGTCAACACAAATGTATGCATGAGACAAATTTTGCAGCACGTTCAACACTAAGCTTATTCATTATAGTCCTGATTACAGCACTGGTACAACTTTGGTTTGACCAAGAGAAAACTTGAAGTTAACAGTATCTGCAGAAGAACCCCTCAGATGTGAGGAGATACATGTGTATTTCTTGGTGTAGGGAGGGGCTCTAGACCCAGGGTTTAAGGTAATAGACACATCAGAGGACTCACAAAGGTATTTAGGGCTTCGTGTCCTTTAAGAAGTTCCTTGCACAAGGAACTTGCAAGTTCCACCTTTCTCCTCTGTTTCTGCAGAGCGTCCTGTCAGGGTTGACCCTCTGTTCTCTGACTCAAAAGTGGATGCAGCAGAGGAGTATGGCTCTGGGAGGGAGTGGGTTTTAAGAATTTTGATTTGGTGTTTGTGTTGGGTTTTTTTGTATTGACAAAAAAAATTTCTCCTTGTTCTTACTTTGCTCTCACTTTACTCTTTGTTCTCCTCCTGTGTGAGCTGGGATCACTCAGGTATGGGGTCTAAGGTGGATTTACCCCTGAGGCTTTAAACTTTGTGGGTGTTAGTGGGAGAGCAGGACTGACATCTTTCTGTATGCAAGTGAAAATTGAACAGACAGATGCTTGGGAGTGAGACTGTCCCACGTAGTAATCCTCACAGCAGAGAAGAGACATGCTTTAAAGACTCAGGATACTTTGTCTTGTTTTTCTGAGAGGAAGGGGTAGTCTTACAACAGCTTTCTAAAAGTTGTGGAAAAGCTATAGCTGCTGTGGGCTGGGGTTTCACATCTTGCATTGTGCTACTCTTGCATGTGCCAGGCCTGTGCCTTAGCATGGGTGGCCAGGGAGCCCCTGGGGATTGAAGAGCCCCAGCCTATGGGCAGAAGTGATAGGAACTCCAATGGCAGTTTTGTGTCTTTGCTGTACAAATCAATATATTCCTACACATCGTGTGGTCAGTAGCATGCTGGTGTTGAAATGTTTCCTCACAGCTCAGGGGGGGCAGGGGGAAGCCACCCCAACTCTTTTAAGAAAAATTTTGATATGTGAGTATTCTGCCCTGCTTCATCTCCTCCCTCGCAGAGTTGAACTGTTTGGGTTGTGCAGTAAACCACATCTGTAAATGAGACAAACTTAAAAATAACATTTTCCTCACAAAGTGAGTTTTAATCTGGATTGATTCCCTTCTGTGTTCCAGTGTATAGTCCGTGAGGTAGGGGTATGTATTTTCTGGGGAAGAGGGAAGAGTGAGGGATGGCAACCAACTGCTGTGAAAAAGCAACATGATACTATGCCTAGTGGGGGCATCTCTGCTTGTGTAAAGGCAATGGGAGCTTGCATCCCCTGTGAATTCTGACAGTGGAACAAAATTTCAAGGGTGCTGCTTGTATTGTAGGTAGTCTTCCTCTTGAGGATGGAGGAAGCATCCATGATTCCTCCGAGACATGGGACAAATAGGAAAGCCAGCAGTGGGAAAGTGATTACAGAGTGTTTGCTCCCACAACAGATGTGATAGGGAGCTAATGGCTGTGGCAGAGACTCTACAAATACATGCTGGGTAGCCTGGATGAGAGTGGAGGATTAACTGAAATGCCAGATGATCTTGTCTGCCAATATACATCTTCTCTAAACACAGGTTGCACTGGTTTAACTGCAGTTGCTTAAACAAGCAAGCCCCATTGATCCTAAATTGATCTGTTCCCCTAAAAGAGTAACCCTGTCCCCCTTATGTGGCTATTTTTATATGAAATATATAATAAACTGAATTATTTTTTTGTCTTTGTCACTGAAGTGTAGAGTGTTTGAATTCACCCTAGTACCCTTTGTCCGAAAGCAGGGGACAGGGGAAGGAATTCCCCTGTGTTGGTGAGCACAGCTGTGCTTGGAAAGATGCAGGAAAGGGATATAACAAATGCTCTGCTCTAAGCCCTCCCTTCTCCTCTCATGGCTGTTGCTCTGAAATAACCATTCCAACGTGTTTTCAAATTCTGAGCAAGCTCTTAAGCTCTTCCTTGCTACATCGTGTAGCAAGAGTACTTGTGCTGTGTGTATTTATGATGGAGTCAGCACTGGACTCGGAAGAATGCCTGTCGTGTCTGCTTTGTGTGTAGGGAATGTTAAACATTGGGGGCTGTGGGCTTGAGAATGAATGATGAGGAGGATGTGGTGCTGGATGGTGAAGGAGCTGGGTGGCAGGCTAAATCACCTCTAATATTGGAGAGGTAGTCTGGGCCTTTGGATGTTTGAGGAACATACTCTCCCACCCTTCTATGTGTGGTGGCCTTTAGGTGCTTCTGTCATTTGCAGAGAAGAATGAGTTTTAACTTAACCCTATTGCATGCCTTGCACTGGCCTCTACCTCTGTTGAGGAGTGAGGGCAGAGGGGGGACAGATGTGGGCTTGGGTGGAATGGCAGAGTAGGAGACATGTGGGAATACTAGAGGTGCTGCTTCATACTCACTTACAACTGCAGTGCAACTTGGCTGGCTGTTGGTACTGAGAGGCTGCAGGCAGAGCAGAAGAATTTGGGCTGTGGGAACTGGACAGAAAGGCATTCTGAGGGCTGCATAAAGCCTGGCATCTGCAGGGGGTTCTTGTTCAGGGTGTGAGGCCTAGGGAGTGGTTTACCCTGGCTCATAGGGAGGGGATGTGGGACCAGAAGGAGGTAGCTCCTAACCCAAGGCACTCCCTTTGCAAAGGGAGGTCTTGGGTGCCTGTGGGGGGAGCTGTGATGGAGGATGAGGAACACATTTCGCCGGTGCCATAAGGTTCTGAAGTACCTCATTGCAGCGGTCATCACCTCCCAGGGCTCACTGCAGTTCACAGTCAGGAAGGCCATGGTGCTCCCTCTGCAATGCTCCAAAGTGTAACTTGGGGTTTTAACCATGGGAGGTGAAACATCACCCACATTACTGTGGGTGAGCTGAGCTAGCAGTGCTCTACTTCTGAAAGGGACAACTGGACTGGGATGTGCACCTGATGTGTCAGGGAGGAGGCTCAGCCTGCTAAACTGGGAGAAAACTCCTTTTTCCTCAGTTAGGTGGGTTTTGCCAGCTCAAGGAGTGAGACAGTGGTAAAGCCATGCTGACAATTTGCCTAGTGTTAAGCCTTGCTGGCAGAATTTGGACATCAGGCTCCTGAACTGCTGTGGCTTTACTTGAGGTGTGTTGGGATTTGTGTGGAAAGTGCTTAACTTCCTGGAGACCTGACTGATGATTTCTGCCTTTGAGTATTTTTATGGTTTGAGACTCTGTTTTTCAGTGTAATGCAAAATGAGGAATTTTTTTTCTTTCTGTGTTTTGAACCGTATGCTAGACTTTAGTAGGACAGACCATCCTGGATAGGGAGAATGAGGAGCAAAATTTGATAGAGGGGAGGAGGCCTAGGCTTGCCTCTTTCTTTGCATTCCAGACCTAGAGTTGAAATGAGGGAGAAAGTAAAATTTAATCCCCGATGTCTCCAGACTTTTTTTGTGTGTGAAGCTGTAATTTTAAATTCAGACACCCTTCGTGTTCTGTGTACAGACCTGGTCTCCACCCCATCTCTCACCACCAGAGGCTGTTGTTGTCTTTTCTCATTCCTGTTTGTCTGCCTAGTGTAGAAAGTAATGAATGTGCATAGTGCACAAAATACCTTGTATGTGCAGTTGCTATCCTTATTTTAAAAAAACGACCATCACAATCTGTGTGAAAGATAATCATGGTGTGTGTTGTGGAAAAAAAATAAAATTAATTCAATGTAAATACGTTGCTGGCAACTGGTTATTTTTAATATGTGCTATTTGTGCTTTAATGTTAAATTATTTTTTTTTGTTGTTAAACCCTGACTGTTCTTAGTTGAGCAGACTTCAGGTTAGAAACAGTAGTCAAACCATGTGTGTTCATAGCATTGTAATGTAATTTTGCGTTACTAGATGTTTTTCTGACCTGTTTAATGGATCATGAAGTGGTGGTTATATGTATAATTGCACAGCATAGAGAAAATAGCATTGTGTTGAAATATTGCATAAAACTTCGGTGTTCTATGACGTTTTGTAGTGGAAGCAGTACTGTGGGTACTTGTTCATAACAAGACCGGCAAGTTTCTCTGAGCAGGGCGGGTAGTTGAGCTTGGCTCTGTGTGTGCTGACTCAACAGAGCAAGTTTCTTTCTCTTCTTGTCTTCCTTCTCCTCCTCTGTTGATTGCTTGTGACTGAAGAACAGATTCTCAAGAACTCACTGTTGAAATGTACCTTAGCTTGAGGTTACTCTTTCAAACTGTGCAGCTGTGGCTCTTGACCTGAGAGTTCCAGAGCTCTCATGCCAGCCAGGTGTTAAGTTGGTTAAAAATGGTCTTGCTTTCTGAGTGTGGGTGCATGTACACAGCATGACTGTGAATGCACAAGGATTTCTCTGCAGTGGTTGAGTAGAGGACCTGATTCTGACCTGGGTGGGCATTCCTGTCTGTATGGGGGATGGAGCCATAGAAGGGCTGCTGGGGCAGAGGAGGTGCTTAGAAGTGAAATCTGGGAGGTTCATGCATGTGTGTACCCTGGAGTCTTAATCTAGCTGCACAGTATAGTCTCATGATGTCAATGGCTTGGAGCCTGCTGCCTGAGCCCAGCTCCTCCCTTTTTCATTTAATGATGGCTGGAAGAAAAATAATCAAGTATGCTGGAAGAGAAAAACATTAATTAACTTTTAATTTAGATCTAACGTATGCTTCTTAGTGTACTGCATGAAAGAGGGAGTGTGCTGTATCTGTCATGTTATATAGGGGGTGATGCGTTGAAAAAACAAGGAAAAGCCTCAGGTCTGAATGGGAAGATGGAGTTTTAACTCTGTGGATGGGTTTTGTAGCTTGATTAAAAAGCTGCAGATGTGTGATAAGTCATTTTTGTATCCATTTTGCATCTGAAATGATTTTCTCTGTAACTTGGTTTGTATCTGTTTTTCTTTTAAGCCAAACTCGCAAGGCGAAGTCAGGAGAGAGATAATCTCGGCATGCTGGTCTGGTCACCTAACCAGAATCTGTCTGAAGCAAAATGTAAGTCTCCAAATCTTTTATTCCCCCTTCCCCTTACATGTATCACTTCAAGAATGCAAAGTTGCCACTTTCAGTGGAGAGATTGTCTCTGACCTTTCCATTATGATTTGAAATTAATTTGAAAAAAGAAAAGTCTACAAAGCAGTCCCCTAGAAGAGCTTCATTCCCCGCTGGGCAGCTGCTCAGAGCATCAAATCCCCAGAGGCAGGGAAAGCAGGAGAAATGTGACACACTTCCTGCCTCAGTATGAATTCTTTAAGATACTTATCCATGGTCCTACACAATCTGCTTTTTTGCTGCTGTAGAAAATGACAAATAACTGAGGAGAGCAAAAAGAAAAGTATTTGGGGCGGGGAAATATATGGTAATCAGTAGTACCTTTTTCTCACAAAGACACAAATAAAATCCACATCTGGAGCCCATGGAGGTTTAAATGCCAGAACAATTGCAGTGCCTTGGAATTCCACGTGAGGGCAATTACCAGCACTCTGTGTGTGTCTGGGAACAAGTCTTAGTGCGGCTGCCAGATGGCAGAACTAGTGTTTGAAAGGTTTGTCTAGCTACAGTTCTCCTCATGAATAAGTAGGACTCCTTGATTAAAGGGCTGCTGTTTGAATGCAGTAGCTAAACCTAAGTGCTTTTGGGGGAGGGAGCTGAAAGGAGCTATTTTTGACTGTACCTTTTTTTTCCTCCTTTCTGATTCTGGGACCAAGAATAAGAATATTACATTCCTGTTCCTCTGCAGTTGTTTGTGGTAGCACTATGAAGTTGATACCTGGTTTTCCCCTAGACCCAAGGGCTAAGATGGATCACAAGACAGTTGTGAGGTTGTAGTAGCATTTGCAAATTAATGCAGCAGAGATTGTGCACTAACTGGCTCTGTCATGAAAGGGCTGGGCTCTGCCCTGGGGCATTTGTTCCACTGAGCAAGTTGCCCCTTAAATTACAGAAGGATGATGGTACTATGATCTACAGATAAAAAGGGCTTTGCAAGGGTCGTGTCTGACTTCTTTCCTACCAGTGGTGTCTTGTCTGTTCCCTGCTGGCTATTGGATGCTGAACTAAATAAGACTGATGAGGAGAGGGATATATTTGACAGTTATCTACAGCGAGAAACCTCTAAAAAGGTGTAAGAGCAAGAAACTGTTGTCTCCACCAAAAGGAACGACTGTTCATGGGTTGTCTGTGACTACCTATAGCTGTCTCAAGGTTGAGAGTCTTTTGAATCTCTGCTCAGCTTTAGAACATTTTACTTCTGCCTGATTAGGAAACAAGTTTCTTGGAGAGGGAAGAGAAGAATGGTGGAGGAAAAAGTAAAGATATGTGAAATTAAGTAAAATAATCTGAGTATTCTGTGGCAGTAGGCACAAAAAATATGTAAGGACATTATAGAGCATAAAAAGGGTATATCATCTGCGAAGATGATGTCATGAATCTTAAGAGATCATTAAAAATGTGGTATGACACTGACTAAAGCTAGGTGGCAGTTGACTGTTGCTGGTACAATAAAAAAATTTGGGAAAACAACGTGAATATAAGAGGGCAAGAAGAAATTTCTAAAAAACCTCAAAATTTTATAAAGAATGTAGGCTTATCAGTGATTTCACCTTCCAGAAAAGATACAGAAAAAAAAAAAATTTCATACTTCTCTCCCTCAAACACTGTATTATGCTCTTGTCCTATACATGACACACAAACTATCTCCCAGCTGTCTGATTGATGTAGAGGGATGGAGTTGTGAAATTCAGTATCTAGCAGTAACAAAGATACCAAAGGAGCATTGTGAGAGATGACTTGAGGGGACCTTAGGGTGGCAGGAAAACTCCAGCAGGTGGGGAGAGGGTAGCTGTGCAGAAAAAGAGAACAGTTTAAGAGTGGGCTGCTTGGTCATTGCTTTGTGGTGTCATTTTGAGCTGATGCTGCCAAAAAGTATCAGTTCCTGTCTCTACCTGGCATTACTTAAAAATGGACTGTGAAAAACAAATCCTGCTGAAGGTAGCTGCTTTTGTTCTTTTTGAGACTAGAGACGGATTGATTGGTAGAAATAACTTAATAGCTTTAATGTATTCAGCCAGCTGTTAAGCATTGATTGCATGAGAGTCTGATTCAATCCCCCTTCCTTTCAAAAGACGGGAACCTCCTTCAAGATACCAGTGCTCTGCAAAGGCTGTAGAGCACTTAGTAAATGTATTACAAGCAGAGTTCCCTAATCTGTTTTATGGTTTATGACAAAAGAACATCAGGGGACAAGGAGGTCTCTTCAGCTACTTCTGAGTTCACTGACGAGTCTTGGCATTGTTGATAGTGAATCCTAATTAAATGGGGTCTGTGGGTTGATGATCATCATGATTGATGATCAACATTTCCATCAGTGATATAGGAACTGATATGGAATTGCTGTGGATTGAAACTGAGGATGAGCCATAGACTGACAGGATGGTAAATAAAATGAATGCCACTGATAGTCTTGTAGAGTGCTTTGGATCTTTTCCTAACTTGGACTGATGCCATTATAGTGGGCTTTAATGACCCAACTGCAGGTTACAAGTCTCAGTACTGGCAGATCTGGCTTTCTGCATCAAGGGTGTTTGCAAAGAAGTGGCTTGGAGAACGATTTTGGGGATGCAGTGAGCAGGTAATTTGTCAAAGCTTTCCAGAGTCCTCCCTGACCCAGTGGATGATGTGGGTGTAAAAAACAAGGTAGTCACTGGAACGCTTTGTTGCCTCTGCATGCAGAAGCAGTCAGAAAAATGAACCTCAGAATAGTGTTTTTAGTGTTGGAAAAACTGAGAAAAGGATGAAGATGGGAGCTACTGAAACATTTTGGAATCTGAAGACGAAGCAAACTCCATCTGTTTAGCTTACTGAAAAGAGACTGTAAGGGGACTACTGTAAATTATTTTCTTAAAAGGAAACTTTGACATAGTAAGAGGCATGCACAATACAAATAGATGACTGCAAAATAAGTCCACATGGACAGAAGTGAAATGTCTGGAGTATGTGGGGGTTTCTTTGTGATTGACTATTGGATGTTATCCAGAGAAGTGATGGATTCTCTTATTTCTTGATGCCTTTTTAAACGATGGATTTTTGTGATATGTGTGTTATCCTTGGTGGAGGGAATCATTGGCAGTGTGAAATTCCAAGTGGAAGGAGCTGTGTTCTTCAGGAGGTTGGTATAGCCCCTTGGGCTTCAAGGACTGTGAATCTGAGCTAGCACTTCCATTCTTAATATTGCTGTTCAGGTTGAGGTGTGGGTGAACAAATCCTTCCAATCAGGAGCATGTTGGTACTGTGTCTAGCATACTCCAAGGTGTTTAATCCATCCTGTACCTGTTCTTGTGGTGAACTCTTTGTCTGTTCCTGTGGCTGGGGCTCGACATGAAGATGGAAGTTAGTGCAGCACATGTTAACCATTACCTTGGAGTGAACTGGTAGCTCTTGTGAGCAGGACAGTTCTGTGCAGTCAGTGAAACTCTTGGAAGCCACCTCTCTTAACAGTGAATCTGTGCTACAAAACACTGAGCAGATCTGTGACAATGCTCAGAGTAACGCACATGGATGGGTTTGGCAGAGGGCTGGCCAAACTGGTGGAGGTTGTGGGAGGGTCCTCTGTAAACTGCTGAAGTTAATCCTGGAAAGACCAGTGTGTCAGCCGGTACCTGGTGGATATCTGCATACCTGATGCTCCAGGCTCGTACAATTAGTTAAAGCTGGTTTGGGTCCCATGCACCCTATATGCTGGAGCAGTGTTTTAGTCATGTTGGAGAAACCTCTTGCCTGGACACGATGAAATGATGGATATGGTAGAGAAGATTAAAACAAACAAAAGTATGTGTTGGCACATTGATCGCTTTTTTTTATCCTGTGTCACATTAACCATCAGTCCTGGGTACAAGCAACTTACTGCCTTGCCCATATTCATATCAAAGTTGAATGTTGCCAGCATGTTCCATATCTACTGCCAGACTTCTGCCTTTGAGGGGTCACTTGCATATAGTAGTTGCTACCGTTAGTGAGTAGTTCACAAAGTTAGCCCAAAGCTAGAAGTTTGTCCTGACTCTTTTGGAGAAGAAAGAAAGAATTGTCATTGTGCAGTAACTGAACATTTGGACTTAAAATAACGATGCTCCCCTTCCAGCTCTGCTCCAAATACCCTCTGTGCTGTGGCTGGTGTCACACGTCTTACAAAGAGCTTGATCTCAAAATGAGACTCCTGAGAGGCTCTCTGAGGACTTGGTGCCATGGAGGGCAACTGTTCTGGCTGTGCTGGGACTCTGTCACAGAGGGTGGGGAAGGGGATGGTGAGGGAGAAGGAATAGAGAGGTCTTGAGTAAGAGGACATAGATGAGCAGGAACAGCTAGGTGGAAGACAGGCATCTGCTCTCTTTGAGTGGCACGTGGAGAAGGAGCAGGGGAAAGAGTGAAAAATGCATTGTAACGATGCTGTTACAATCCTGTGCTGCACAGGATTGAGCTGGGCCAGCATGAAGCTATTAATAAAACAGCAGTGTCTCTCTCTGCCAAGTACGCCAATGGGTGGAACCATAAAGATGACATTGGGTTGGTTTAGAAATGAGCAAGTGCTGGCATGCTGCAGCTGCCCAGGAGCAAGGGATGGAAACCAGGCAAGAGGATAGGATGTGATGATTGCTTTTATGCGTCTGCAGTTCAAAGGTGAACTACAAAAGGAGAAAGATGTATTATTTTGCTAGCGATAAGCTCTGTTTCGAAAGTAATTTTTCTGTTCTCTTTCTGACAGAATATGTCTGCTAGATGGGAATTTTGCTTTATCACTGATGTCTTGGTGGGTGTCTCCAGTGGATTTGCAGTTTATGGGGTGTCATTGAAGGGGCAGGTGCTGTCCCTCATACCCCTGGGACAGCAGGTTGTGGATGGTAGCTGGGTCCCCTGGTCTTGCAGTGCTGCTTTGGTTTGACCTGATGATTGATCAGCATGCCAACTTTGGACACGCAACAGTCTCTTCCTCTGTTATCCCA